TGAAGAATTTACAGTTTAGATGGTTTTCAGAATACTTAGCTTACTATCTGGGACTAACCAGAACAGGAGATATACTAAACAGCTTTTAAAAAGCACAGCCAGTGACTAAGGGTATTGATTACTAACTAGATATGGCACACATTTGTCTATTTAGCTATTCTTCCATTTTCTAGCTAGACACTCTTACCTTATGGTAGGACAACAAACATCCAGTAGATAAAATATTGCAATACTTTTACTATTTAGCATTGCATTTCAGGAGCATAGTTAAGAATAGGTCAATTACACACAGAGGTTCAGGATATGATAAAGAATAAATAAAAGGTATCTTGAAAATGGTGCCATATATTTTTCCCCCTCCCCATAACCATCTTAACTTTCTCTTTGATTTTTCTTGTCTTTCAGGAAAAAACTACTCAAGTGCTAACTTCTCTTTGGGAAGCACAGAAACAAGTTTGCAACAGATCTAGTAGTAATTAAGAAAATGCTATTCTTAATTTTCCTTAGATTCTGTTTCTGTTCTTTGAAAGAAGACGATATCGCTATATAACACATACTTGCAAAAGCTATATTTATTATTCTTTGTTTAATTAAGTATTGTTACAGAGGAGGCTCAAAATTGCTTGGAAATATGTTTATACTTGGGTTTCACCTCCTCTTTTGGAACCCCTTAATAATAGAACTGGGAGTTTTGAGTATTTTTCCTACAATGCACCTCCCAAGTAGGCAGACCCTCTCTCAGTTAACACTGTGGCAAGGGCAGAGTGCATGTAACCTACTGAAATGGGTTCATGACCCCCAGATTAATTTTCCTTCCTGCAAACATAATGCAAGAGAATTTGCTTTCTTCAATGTCCTGATATATAGTTAATGTCAGAAAAATATGTTGATGTTTAATGCAGCTATAACTTTTCCCATTACTGCTGTTTTGACATTTATGACCTACTTGTAGCTGGTGCTAATAACATCACTTAAGTCAGAAGCACACATTGAAATAACTGTATTCCCAGAAGAGAGATCCTGTTGTACTATACTGTTATAAACTACTGAAATACCAGATAAGATAAATATTTGCCTTTTAGATCTGCTCACTCAGTAAGACATCAACATTTTTTTTTGAACACAGCAGATGTGTGGTCTTGTTAGTTCTAGGAAATTGTGTATAGGACATTGTCTGACTGCATCCAAGCAGCATTTTTGACAGCAGTCACTCCCAATGACCAGGATATTTCAGACACATCTACCATTTCAATTTTGCATACCATATGGTGGAGTATTGTCACTAGAAAGACATAATTAGACAAATTGGAATGAAGATATGTTGAAATGATACTTTTCAAAAAGGCATTTTGGGGATGTCTCCACCTTACAAGGCATGGCAATGAAATACTACTACGGTGATTGAATATCAAATAGAAATGGACACAAGACGCTGACTGCACAATAGCCAAAAAATACTGCACACTAGTGCATTACAGCACAGACAGTGCTAACACACTATTGCACAATATAAATAAATAAATAAATTGTATAAAGAGTATAAAAAGTATAAATAACTAAATAAATGTGCAATAATGACTGTGCAGCAGCATCTTGTGTAGATGCATCCAAAGAGTAGTTATTTGCTTCTAAGTCAGGGGTGAGCAAAATGGCAGATCTGGCTGGCAGCTGGCTCCATTTCCGAGCAGCCCCTGCCCTCATTGCTGCCACCAGTTTCCCTGGAGACCCCACTAGTGGTGGCAGCATGACAGGGTGGGGACACGGTTTCCATGAAGACTGGCCCCAAGGGCATGTGGCTGGGCGGGGAGCTGCTCCTGGGCCAGGGCTGGGATCTTGCAGTATTGATAGCGTGGTCCAGAGCCAGGACAGAGCTGTGATCTGGTGCCTGCTTTCCCCTACCCAGGTATGTGGGCAGCGGATCACATCTCTGTCCTGGCTCTGGACTACACTGTCACCACCGCAAGATCCCAGCCCCAGAGCAAGTCCATGCCCAGCTGCATGTGCGCTGCCAGTGCTGCTGCAGTTGGCCCCCATGCAAACCCTGGTCCAGCACTGCTGGGTTCTCCATGGAAGCTGGCCATAGAAATGCAGGCAGGGGCTGCTGGGAAATGGAATCACCTGTGGACCCCATCCAGCCCATGGGCTGAGCTTTGCCCACCCCTGTCCTAAATGGTGCATGCCTATTATAGGGATAAGCTTGATTTCCCTGCATTAAGGACCAGATTTTAGTTGGTGCAGAATACTTAAAGTTGCTTACCAGAAGCTAGGCAGAGTCATTATTGTGTTTTACTAAGAGATTTTAACTTTAGAATGAGTGTCACAGGGGAGAGGTATGTTTTTTATGGTTGGATCAGTTCTCCAGGATCTGCACAGTCTATTTGCTGCTCTTTTTATTGTCCTGCCATGTAAGAGGGCTATCTACACTGATAGGATGTGATTATAAAAATGTATCATAGAAATCAGAAAGGATTAAAATGCTAAAGTATCTCTAATTGCATACATAAAAATGATAGATGTTTCTATTTAGTAATGAAATCAGACTTATTTTGACAATGTATGGATTACAGGATTGTTTCATACTTATCCTTAAATTTCTTTTAAAAACTGCTAGGCAACTGGAATGGCAAATACCAAAAGTCGTGTTAAAGTCTTCTATCTTATAGCTGTAAAAAAACAAAACAAAACAAAAAACCCAAAAACTAATTTAAAATTCGAAGTCACCATCCTACTGCATCTTCAGCTTACGCCAAATCTGTCTCTTCCTCCTCCCTCCCCTAACCATTCAGATAAGATCAACAGAAACAGAGGAATTTGAATACAAATAAAGGTATACAAATGCAAATACATATAAATTATAGCCCTTATGCAAAGAATTCCATCAAGGCAAGAAACTGAGAGCAAGAAATCATCCTATATGACAAAATTTATTTCAGATTCATGCAATACATAAGCACAAAATGGCAAGTTAAAGGCAAAGTGGCTGACCTATTTGGGCTTTCTTAAACATGTACAATTAACTATTTTCAATTTTAAAAAATACATGAAAGCTGAAACCTGACCTAATCTTTTATTACCAGTATTATTACTACTACTACTACTATTTTTATTTCTTTTCTTTATATTTAGTTTTGACCTTGGATATAATTGTAATAAATCTTTTATTACCAGTATTATTATTACAACTGTTTTTTATTACTATTTCTTTCCTTTACATCTAGTTTTGACCTTGGATATAGTGATATGGTTAGTTCTCGTAAATGAATGACATCTATATTTTCATTTTAATTCACAATTTATATGACTTGCTTAATCTATTTCTGCCTTGTGTCCCACTGTAATATTGCTTTAGTTTTTGATGTTTTTATGTTGGTCTGTATTGTGCCTTCCTTTGTTCAATTTCTTTCTCTTTTGTTAGAGTGTTTCCTTGTGATAAAATATGTGAAAAGAGTGCATTTGAAATGATTGTCTGTTAAAGGGCTTGCTGCTGCCTGCAAAGTCACATGTAAAGTCACATACATGCTGTATGTAAAGTCACATGGATTTTAGTAGCAGGACTCACAAGAGAAGGGGCCCTGGTCAGATCAAAGGGACCACAGTGAACAGCATGCTGAGGGAGTTGGTTCTGCAAACTTAAGTCAGAAATTTTAGCTGAGTTCGTATTAAGATCAGGCTTTTGTTACACTTTTCCCCCTCGCTAGGACTTAATTCAGTAGTCCAAAGGCAGGTTTGCACTGCAGCAGTGGTGTGGTGGGGCTGAGACACCTCTGAGTATACCTTGTCCATCTGATCCCACTGACATCCTCCAAACACAGAAGTACATTGGTAAGGATCATCTGCTTGACCTGTGTGACAAGTTTGAGAACATCTGTGTGTGACCATTTCTGATTAGACTCATCAGCTTACTTCTGGGTTTGAAACATATATGTGGGAATGAGGTGGGGGGGAAGGGGATGGCAGGGAGACAGGATTTGCTCAGAAATGGCCTGGACAGAGCATCCTACCACTGTGATGTAGAGATGTTCCAAGTAGCTAAAGATCTCTGTAGGAAGTAAGAGAACGAGGGAGCTTTCCTATAGGATAGAATAACTGTTGGATCCAGCCACAGTTCCACTACTGCTCTGTTCAGAGGGCTTGCCTTTAACAAAGTGGAATTACTCACATGCCTAAGTGCTTTGGATCAGGGCCTGAGTGCTCAGTAACTTGAAGTGTCAAGACAAAACTCTCCTGGAAGCTGTTTCAGAGGAGGGATACTGAAGTGGAGCACAGCTCAGCTCTGAGGTGAAGGGACTGAAGGTCCCCTGCATTGGGTACCCAAGTACCATCCTGTCTTTTTCATAACAGAAGCCTATTCATTGCACACTAGTTCCACTAGGCTCTGTTCCTCTTCAGCATCAGAGGAGATGGGCAGGATTTGGCCCCAAGTAAAATTACTGTGTATTTCAGATGAATGACAATGTGATGTTCTTCCAAGTAAAATAAATATCTTGTGTGACATTGTTCCATGATATAGCTAAAAATCATTTTGCAAAATTGGGGGAGGGATCCTATGGCCCTCATTTTATTCTGTTTTTGTGCCAGAGATACTCTCTTGTCATATGAATGAAGTAGGGTAGTTACGTCCACCCTAGGAATCCCCCTCTATGGGGGGATGGGCTGGCGTGGGCTGAGGGTTTGAACACGCTGTAGTACAGCAGTCCTTGTTGGCACTACTTGTTGGCCAAGTATGGGTTGCCTAAATTACACTGGAAGTCTTTTTACCCTCATAGCAGCTAAGAATCAGAAAAGCACAAAGATGTCTAGATGTCTTAAATCTGCTGTAGCTTCTTCCCTTGGGCTTAAGCTTTGTGCTGAACCTCTTAGAAAGATCAAATTCATTAAAGGTCTAATGTATCTCCCATTAAAGTCAACAGAGCTTTCAATGGGAGCTGGATCAGAGCCTGTAAATTACTCCGATACAATTTCCCTTCTAATGCCGACTTTTCTTTTGCCCCTTAAAACAGGAGAAGCTCTGATTACTCAAGGAAAAAGAGTCATGACTCATGACCAAATGGGGAAATTAGTCAGAAGCTGTCAAGGCATGGCCACAGAAAGAAATGTGATGAAGATTTAGTCTCTGAAGAAATGGATGGATTTATGAAATGTACTTCTTCATCTTCTGATGGGAATGCTTGAAAAAAAATCAATGAGCTTAATACATTGCACTTAAATGTATTTCTATTGAAAGTGGTGACATCTCATTTATTAGCGAGACAAATGCTATTGTGTACAAATGAAAATAGTTTTCTTTTTGAGAAAGCCAAATCATGTTAGCAATAAGCTGTTTGATGCTCAAGGGGGAAAAGATCAACTAAAAGCCAGGAAAGGAAAATGTTGTACAGATTTCCACCTTTATTTATTACTATAAATAGAAGAAAGTATTTATTTAGGTTTCCCATGCCTGTAGATTACAACATTGCTATTAATATTCAGGGATCATCAGTGGTACAGAATGTATTTTGTTGTACTACAAACATATTTTTCAAACGAACAGTGGAAATGAGGAGGCATTCAAGGCTGTTCAAGGTGTTGAAAATATTCTTTGTATTTTAGCATTCAGAAAGGCAACAATAAAAGGCTGATTGATTTCTTTGGCAACAGCAACTCAGTGGCACTAACCAGCTAAAGTCTTGTCTAGTTATTCACCACTGCTAAAAGTTGTAGTTGGTTTGCAAGATAAAAATAAAGCATAATTCATTGGTCCCATCTCTGAGCTTGTTATGAAAAAAGGTGCATCATGGATTATGACAAACAACATGCAACATAAGATGTACATAGCTTACAAGCTAGGGGTTAATTTATATACTTGTTAATTTTGTTCTCAGGTCATTTTTGTGCTGTCAGGATATATAGAGTAACTATTCACTTTGTAATTCAAGTAACTGTAAAAAGTGAGCACTTCAACTTTCCCATACTCCTAGTTTCTGCAAATTGTGCATTAAAACACCTTTGAATCTTATTTGGTTAGTTGAATTTCATGTGGGTTGGAAGCGTATGTTGTTGTGATTGTGATAGACTGCCAGAATACCCTATTATCCTTGTATGAAGTCATCAGGATGCTATTCAGTACCTCATTAATGGAATTAGTCACCATAAGCTCTGCATTTTAAATAAATGAGTGCCTTTTATAATTCACTTTGATCTCCTAAAAGATAAAAACTCACCATATAAGTGATATAGTAAATATTGACAATTATATATTCAGTGGGGGGGGGGGGGGGGGGGGGGGGGGGGGGGGGGGGGGGGGGGGGGGGACATTTATTGGGAGTGGCCAATGAAAGAGATTTTGATGTATTATACTGGTACATCTTCAGGATAACACTATTTGCATCTCTGTAATTTTGATTACAACTGGATCAGAACAAAGCCCAGTATGTAAAACTAATGAGTGAAGATTTAAGGGAGAAGATGGATTCATGAGTGACACTAAAATCCAAAGCCTGCAGGTTAAATCCAAAAGACAGTGAATCTTCTAAAACTAGTTTCTAGCTTGAGGTCTGTCATGACTTGCATTCAGAAGGAACTAGACTGTCACTCTTTCCTTATAGATGAAGCTGCAGCAAAACCTTAGGATGTTTGATAGAATAACTGTACATGATTACATCCATCATGTAAATGAATTTGTCTATGTACTAATATTAACATTTTCTGTGAAATTCAGTTTTTAAAAATGCTGTAACATGAAATTTAATTTAAAATATATCTTATTTATAAATGTCAAAAGAGAAATTTTGTTTGATGGCTAAAGAAATAGGAATTCTTCAACAAAGTAAACAGTATAATGGATGAGGATCTGTAAATGAGGCGAGAGATGCTAAATGTTTTTTAACAATATTACCTCTTCAAAATGCAAGTAGCAGCAAATCTGTATCATCATAGTATCATTTCTGCCACAGCCAATGATTTTGTTTTCATTTTATCTAAGGCATTTTCGAAGGCACAAATGAAGTTTCCTGCTTAATTTTCAATTCTTTGTTATGTTACAATATCTTGAAATAAATAGAAACACCATAATTTTATGATACTTCTGAGAAAAGTGATATCAAATAAAGTATGTCCTGTGAGCCTTGTCTCATGATTCCCCTCCTCCACTTAGGCAAGCTGGTATAGAGCGTTGCCTCATAAGAGCTTATTTATTGCCACAGCTTATTTCCAGTACTATCCAACAAGAGTTAAAACTACTAAATCATACAAACATAATAGAAACCATAATAGAAATTTGGACTAGAAATCTGTCGTGCAACACAGAGCTCATCGTTCTTTTATGCAAACCCACCTCTTTCTAAGTAGTTCCTACCACGCTGGTCAGTAGATGGCAGAACTCACTTTGTTAATAAGAGGCAAAGGCATCCCTCGTGTAATACATACTCAGCACAGGGGAATCAAGGACTACACACAACATGCTAGAGAGTTTGAAGGGTAGCTCTGATGACATACAAGAATATCCAAAGCTGATTTGAATTGTTCTGGTAACTTCTATCTGCAGATCTCAAAAACACTCTGAAAACATTAAGGCTTAAGTTTATAATACCACTAGCAGATTGCCATGATCCCCATTTTCCAGTGAATGACACTGTTCTAGTGACCTGTCCCAAGTCTGACAAAAAGTGTCACAGAGCTAGAAACAGAATTCAAGGTGCCCGGCTCCAAGATCAGGGTCTTAAAAACAAAAAGAAACAAAAAAACAACTAACACCAACTTTCTTCTCTGATTGTCCTTTTAGATATTCATGTTGCTTCTTTTAACATCAGGTCTAAGTATCTTATAAAACACTTTACAATTAGGGTAATCATTGTTAGTTTTTTAAATCACAGGTGATATTGTAGTAACGATCAGACTAATTTCAATAGGGTTGCAAAGAAATGGGAAGGAGGAAAGTGAAATCACGTAGATTATATCTCCGAGTTTCATAGTTAGTAGGGTCAGAAGGGACCTGAGCAGATCATCAAGTCCGACCCCTTGCCATGTCAGGAAAGAGTACTGGGATCAGTACTCCCCAGAACAACCCCAGCAAGATGATTGTCCACCCTTGTCTTAAAGACCCCCAGAATAGGAGCCAGCACCACTTCGCTTGGAAGTTGGTTCCAGATCCTAGCCACTCTGACAGTGAAGTAGCGCCTCCTGGTGTCTAATCTGAATTTACTCTCGTCAGCTTGTGACCATTATTTCTAGTCATTCCTGGTAGTGCTCGGGGGAACAGGGACTCCCCCAGTGCCTGCTGGTCCCCTCTGACTAGTTTGTAACAGGCCACTAGATCCCCCCTCAGCCTTCTCTTGTGGAGGCTGAACAGGTTCAGGTCCCTTAGCCTCTCCTCATAGGGCCTGCCCTGCTGCCCCCGATCATGCGAGTGGCCCTCCTCTGGACCCTCTCCATGTTGTCCACATCCCTC